TTCTTCTTCAAATTCTGACTGAATATCTGAATCATTGTCTTCATCATTGTTCTTTGATTCTCCCCCTCGAATGAGGAAACAGTTTCAATGATTGGTTCAGAATTGAGTTCCTCGTCTGGACATTCATGGGACATGGTAGGTGATGGACTCTCCTCCTGGAAAGGCAAATCAGGTCTTTCTGAAATAGACGAACCCTCCCCCTGGAATGTTGAGCGATCATTCAGAGGTTCGCTTGATATAGAACGTTCGTTTGAGTCTTGAGGTTCACTTAGACCTTGAGGTTCGCTAGGACTTTTAGGTTCGCTTATATCTTTAGCAGCTTCGTTGATTATCTTCTTTAAGTTATCAATTTTATTATCAGTTGCTTTCGCCTTAGAGAGAATCTCTTTCTCTGGTTCATCAAAGAGCAACATGTACTGTTCAAATAGATTGGATATTGGAACCAAGACTTGACATGTTTTTAGAAAGATTTCCTCCATTGGTTCTTCGCTTGATTGTCGTTTCTTCATGTAAGTATCATCAAACGTGACATAATAGGTTTCTTCGAATTTTTGAACGTTTATTCAGAACCCTATATGTGTTGGAGATTAGAGAGTAGCCAAGGAAAATCCATTCGTCATCTTTTACATCGAACTTGTTTCGGTTTTCTTTGGAATTAAAGATGAAGCACCTGGAACCGAAGACATGAAAGAACTTGACGTTAGGTTTGCGATTATTCAGAATTTCATACGGAGTAATAGAAAATCGCTTATTGAGGAAGGATCGGTTATGTGTATAGCAAGCTGCGGCGATGGCATCAGCCAAGAAATACGATGGAAGAGAAGTGAAGTTAAGCATTGTTCAGGAGGCTTCACACAGAGAGCGGTTTCGCCTTTCAACAATGTTGTTCTACTGCGGAGTATAGGGATCAGAGAAGTTGTGAGTGATTCCCTTTTCGGGTTGTAAATTCTTCAAACTCCTTGTTTATGAATTCCAGCCCATTGTCACTTCTCACATTGCGAACCACCTTTTGTAGTTGAAGCTCTACTTGCTTTATAAAAACTTTGAGCTTAGGAGTCGCCTCAGATTTCTGTTTAAGAAAGAATACCCAGGTTAAACGTGACAAATCATCAACGATAACAAGAATGTACTTACTACCACCGACACTCTATTACAGAGGGACCACATAGGTCGATGTGTAGAAGCTCAAGAGGTTCGATGATCTTTGTATTAACACGCGTGGGATGACTTTTTCGGCTTTGCTTTCCCATTTCACATAATGTTCCTTATCAAACTTGAGAAGTGGAAGTCCTCGCACATGATCATCAAGAACTAACTTGTTGATATCTTTGAAGTTAAGGTGCGAGAGCCTTCGGTGTCATATCCAGCTTTCATCAGTATGAGATTTCGTTAGAAGGCATACAACAGGCTTCCCTCGTAATGGGTTCTGATTTATCGAATACATTTCACCTTTGCGTTTGGATTTCAACAGAACTGTCTTCATCTTCTTTTCTACGATCTAGGAGCCTTCATCATCAAACGAGACTTTCAGGCTAGTCCCCACAACAAGTTGCAAAACACTTATGAGATTGTGTTGCAATCCCTCTACATAAGCCACTCTTCGGATTGAGAAATCCCCATTTGTAATCATCCCAGAACCTTTTATCATGCCATGAGAGTTATTTCCATATTTGACACATCCACCATCTTTGAGAGCCCGAAACTCTCTCAGTTCTTCCCTCCTTCCTGTCATGTGACGCGAGCAGCCACTATTTATATACCATTCGTCGTCGAACTACTCATCACTAATAACCTGCAAAAATTAAGCAGATTTAGGAACCCAAAGTTTCTTGGGTCCTCGTGATCCTTTTACAGAAAAGGGAATTGCAACAGAAAGATCAACCATATATGTTCTTTTTATTAAAGTGGTTTTGTCTTTCCTTTTGATAGTAAAAACTTTGATTTTGTTATCTTTTTTATTCGATTAGACTCAAACAAGAGTTGCGCAATAGAGCCAGACCTAACCTTCTGAAATGATTTAATCCTCACAATATGTAACTTCACATATTCATTTACTAGTCAGTAAAAGATAACTAGAACTCCTAAAAGCACAAAGGAAGCAACATTCGAGCATCGAGCAACATAATCAAGCATATCATATTCAGGTCATCACTATCTAATATGTACTAGCATGCGGTTCATAAGCTGAGATACATATAACAGGCACATAAGGCATCCTCCCTAGATCCTTAGTCCCAATCTAGCATGCAATTCTCATAAAGTTGGTACACATACTACAACATAAACTTGTATGGGTAATTTGGGAGTACTTACTTGAGCTCGGTTGATTGCATGCACCACACCTTTTTCTCTTTTTCAAAGTTTTTTTTTCTCTTTTCAAAATTCTTTCTATAAAAAATGATTTTCTCTTGAAAAATTTTCATACCAAGTCCTCATTTTGAGCCCAAACACACCCGAGAGTGTATCTGAATCCCTCAAACCAAATCTTTGATACCAATTTGTAACGTCCCAAAAACATAGTCCAAAAATTTCATTTTTAATTATTCATAAAAACCATAATTGATATCCATCATATAAACCATAAGTCATAAAACCATGAAAATGTCATAAACAACTATCAATGTATCGAAAACACATATTCAATATCAGAGTAAATCATCCCAGACTAGAAAGATGTGGTGTGTGCCATGCAGTCAACACGAACCCTTCCCCTTGCTAGTGGAAGTACCTAAAACCAAAACTAAAAACTGTAAGCATGAATCTTAGTGAGTCTCCCCAAGCTACCACATACCATACACGTAAACACATATTGGGCCTAGCCCACTGCATAGGGCCCCGCTCGGCATCGGACCAAGGTCCGGCATAACTTGGGCCTAGCCCCTGCATCGGGCCCACCCGGCATCAGACCGAGTTCCAGTATACATGTCATAACAATAAACATATCATATTACAAACATAACATAACATAACATAAAGCTATCATTCCTCGGGCTTGCCCCGACATCGTACCGAAGCCCGGAACACATAATCAGACACATGCAAGAATCACAAAGACATCGTGCATACTAAATTCCTCGGGCTTGCCCCGGCATCGTACCGAAGTCCTAACATCTACATCGGGCTAACACCGACATATACAATCACACCTAAATGGGCTGGCCTTGGTGCCTTAGACTCGTACCTATGGGAGAAGACTCACTTCTCAAACTGGATGTTGAACTCGTGCGTGGGGAGATCTCTGTTGGCTGCTCCCACGACTCCCTGTCTATTACTATACACTAATACTTAGTCAAAAATCCGACCAATCTTGCTTAGGGTAAAATGACCATCTTAACCCTGGTCAAAGTCAAGGTCAAGGTCAACTACCAGTCAGCCCGACTCGTCGAGTTATCTTCCAACTCGACGAGCTCCTGAACTGCTATCATACCCGATGGTCAACTGAGTCAACTCCTCGATTCCCTTCACAGATTCGACGGGTTCCAGCTATACAGAATCGGGACGAGACGAATCAACTCGTCGAGTCCCTATATGGACTCACCCCCCCCCCCCTCAACTAATTTCACTTGGGAACAAAAAAGGATTGGGGATCACGACTCGAATCTTCGAGTCATATAAACTACTTGTCAAGTCCTTTGCATGCCAAGACCATACAGTAGATCCTAGTCAATTCCAGTGCATCCAATTCACAGATCTGGACTCTAGGGCTAGCATAACACGTAAAGTTGCTAACTTTACGTGCATGCATGGTGGTTTTAACCTAAAACACCAAACTAAGCTAAAAAAAATGGAGACCTAAGGTTTGGAATAGTGTCATGGCTGGATAAAGGTGGCCACCTTGAGCTCCTAATGCTCAAGAGTGCCCAGATCTTAAGTCAACAACCCAATAAGAGCTCCAATCTCAGGGTTAGCCTTGGAAATAGCCCAAAAGTGTCACAAGCAAGCATAGATGAAGATCTAATAAGAGAATGATCAAGTTAGGGACTTGATTACCAGAAAGTGCAATAAATGGAGTGTAGTTCCTAGATCTACTTCTTCCCCTTTGAACCTTCTATCTTCTTCTTCTTCTACAAGCTTCAAGATGCACAAAATCACTTCAAAATGGCAAGGAATCTCTCAAAATCACTCAAGGTGTATTAGGGTTTCGAAGTTAGAGCTTAGAGGGGATGGAGGATGGGGTGGAGGCATGTTATGTTGCTTAAATAAGATGTAAACCCTAAAGATTAGGGTTTTCCTCCAGCAGGACCTACTCGTCGAGTCAAGGATTCAACTCGCCGAGTAGACTACTTAAACCCCACGACCAAGTTGGTATCTACTCGACGAGTTAGGGCTACCAACTCGTCAAGTAGCTCTCACAAAATGAATACTTCAATAGATTAAATGCGTACCAGGAACGGGGTGTTACACCTACCAACCCATTTATTTATACGGGTTCACAGATTGGCGAGTTCGTGTGTCAGATTCCATAAATAAAATTGACAATTAACCATGAATAAAATTTTTGATGGTTGATGCAAACATATCCGAATTTTAGGCATTTAAGTCTTAAACATCCAAATGAAAATTAAAAACATTCATAGAAACATGTTACAGACTTAGCCTTATAGGTTACGACTTACGACCTTAGGCCATCCACCACAAGTCAAAATGTTAAAACAGTCAAATGATTTATGAATCAATGATATATATTATACTTATACATAAATACATTTAAAAATATATATTTTTTTATTAAAAATATAAACGGGTTGGCGGATCAACCCGTTTATTTTTTAAGAAACTCATATATGACCAGTTTAATAAACGGGTTGGCGTGTTGGCAGGTTGAAATATTTTGGAATGGTTTCAATTGGCATTGAACCAACTTGGAGACTTAAGGGTTGCTTGGAAAGTGTTGTTTCTTGTTTTTGTGCTGATCGAACCTGACACGGTCGAGTCAATTAGACAATTACCAAGGCAAGCTCGACTCAATAGAGTAACGATTTGAATGAAATTCATGTTTTGTCCATAACTCATGCATACAATATCAAAAGTTAATTTACAATGATTTTTCTATATGTTTTCAATATAAAGCAAAATCCCCAGGAATACCCCCACCACTGTGCTTTGGAATGCCGACTCCACATTCCCATTTTCTTTGCCTCTTTCTAATGTCGGTTCTTTCTCCTCACATCTCATCCATCATAAACCACCCATGAAACCCTAGCTTCTCCATTGTCGTACCTGTCAACAATATTCATACAAATAAATGAGAGCCTTATCAGAATCGACATTATTACAAAGGTAAGATTCATTTCCCCTTTGCTCTCAATTTTGATTTCTCGAATTCCTTCATCCAACTTTTTGAGTGTTTGGTTAATTCAATTGAAGACTGCAAAGCTAACTGGAGTTCAATTCTGTATGCTTAACATTGCATAACAATCATCCCAATTTCTCTCCTATTAATCTGTGAATTTTGGGGTTCAATTCACTATGCATGTAGACTTGGTTCCACATTTCCATCTCCATATATGCATCTTCTTCCTTTTAAGTTTATCAATTTTATATCTTATGCATACTACCTGTTTGATTAAATGCTTTGTCTAGGATGACCAATCTGGATCAATAACATTTCTAGATCAGAGGTGATTACATATTAAAAAAATGAGGCATTTGCATATGTGAAGTCAAGAATGGATGGTGAACAAACCTAGATGATATGCAACTCTTTATTTATTAAGATATGAACTTTCCATGCTTGAAAGTTACAGTTTGTATTTCCTTGTCATGCACACTGGACATTTTTTTGTTGATTTTATATTTATACTTTAAACATGAAAACCCTTATTTATTTACACCAAAATGGTTGTAGTTTTCTATCACTGTATCAAAAGGACCTGTAAAACCTGTTTTGTGACTGGTATAGAATCTTTGGGTGGATGGGAAATGGTATTTATCATTCGAGACATTTATTGGACTGTAAATTCGTTAAATCATTTAAAAAATATATTTTTAAAATGGTAACTGACTCCTTTATCAATGATTTCAAGGATTTCGAAGAACAATTGAATCCATGAATTTACTCACATTTATTGCAAAGGAACTCCAGACCAACTCTACCCATTTCCAATAAGCTGCTCACAAGTGTTATTTTTCACAGGATCAATCTGCTGTGCTTATTGATCATGGAAGCAATGCTGTTTCAGAAATCGAGGGAGATCATACATTAATTTCTGTTGATGATTTTATTTAGTCTGATGTACTTTTAGGGAGTACAAAAAATTGAGGTCAGTTAGTGTATTCAATTAGTTTGTTCTGTGATTACTGTATTTATTCGTTGATTCTGTCACAAAAAGAAATGAAATATGCAATATAACCCTTGAAATACCAGACAAATAAAACCCATTCACTTTAAAATATAAAATATCACTATCCAAATAAAAGAGTTACTTCACTTCTAAGTGTCAAATATGTAATTTTCACTCTTCAAAGTCAAACACGTCACATGATTTTTTGTAATAAAGTTAAATTCTTTCATTCTTTTTTGCATGACACAGGCTCCTCTAAAATCCACATTTCACACCAGGTGTAGTCAAATTACATATGGGGGAAGCACCAGTGCAAACAACCAAGAAGCTTATTTTTAAAATTACTGCTTATGGCAATGTACATTGGATTTTACTTATTCTAGCAACCTACTTTCAAAATCTTTCATGATGACTTGGCAATAACTCAGTTAGGCAAATTAAATTTTTTTTTTTTAAAAAAGTCCATCTCAGCAGATGAAAGGTGTTGCTATAATTGGTTCACGACATTAAAACTGACAAGTAACCAAAGTAACAGGTGGAAAAAGCCTTTGGTTAACGGTTAGTTGTTCTATATATTATGTTAAATGCTAGGAATAAAAATTTACATTTATTTATATTCTAGGTTAAATAAGAAAAAATGGAAAGTGCAATGCTATTATTGGATAGATTTTTTTTTTGAAAAAATGCCTTAATAAGAAAAAAAAATTCAAGTACATTGTTATAGTTGGTTATGTTTTTCAACGTACAATGATATAGTAGGTTTTTCCAAAGTAAATTATCTTAATAAGAAAACATTGGAAGTAGAATTCTATAATTGGTGGTGGAGGTGGTTCATTGTCTTTGTTTTTGTTTTGTTTTGTTTTGCTTTTGAAAATGAAAACATATGGAAGTATCTTGCTATTAGCATTTAACCGGTTTCTTATTACATACAAGAAATAGCAATATACTTTTATTATTTCTATATTATAGCAATTTACTTTCACTTCTTTCTATTACAACATTGTAATTCAAATCTTTCTCTCATTCACACATTATCCTTGGAAGTTCTACACACTTATAGCATTGTCCTTGAAACTTGTTTCTTATAATGGCTTGTACTTTCAAAAATCTATTCAATTATAGCAATAAAAATCGCTCAGTATTTGGATGAAATTGCCATAATTAGGTAGATTTTTCAAAATACAATGTTTTAACAAAAATAAATGAAAGTAGGATGCCATAATAAATGTTATCTCTTGCATTTGGCTATTTTTCACACCAACCAGGGAACAAAATTTAATCCATAAAGAAAATGAAAAACGATGATTTATTTGATCGTGTGTCCCTTTTATTCATGTGATGAGATAAAGGTTTGCGTGTCAAAAATCATACCTCACATGCAAGACCAAATATGTCAGACTTCCTTTATGATAAGGCTCTGAAATACACTTCTTCTTCTGATGAAAACAGATAAAAAGTAACATGTTAATTTTCTTTCACATTACATCTACTTGGACAAAGTAGCTGTATCTAGGCTTCTCAATCAGTAGCTGATAGACCCTTGTTGAATCTATCGGATATCCCAGACATTCTAACACTCACACTAACAGAAATACTTGATAACATTAAAGATAATTCCCAGCTTTCGAGATGTTGGTATCTCCAAAAGAAAGAACAAAGTTCTATATCATAATTCTTAGCTGCTAAACAGAAACCTCAAGGAGGGTATAAATACTAACATAAAACAGACCTGGGACAAAGTTAGTGCTCCCAACATAACAAAACAGCAAATAACAGTCATAATACCATAAAAGACCATTCTACCCCTGGCCAAAAAGATAACAGAAATGTCGGGGCTTATCGGTAGCATTGGTGTTTTAATCAATTTATCAACTGATCCAACAAATCAACTCATAATAGGCAGACTTATACATGGGTTGATCCAAAAAAAAAAAATCAAAAATGGAATTTCTATTGTTCATATATTATAGAAATAAACTATTATTTTAGTGTCGATAAAATTAATATTAAATTGGTAGATTTTGGTTGTGATCCATCTACATAAAATGGGTATCAATTTTTCTAAGTAAGTTGGGTAATGTTAGTTAATATTAGCTGTTGTTTAAACAATTTGTGAGGAAACGAGTATTTCCATTATGTATTTGGCACAAGAATCCTGAATAATGACTAAAACATAAGACACGACAAATTAACATTCAATAGAAAATGACATTTACCTTTATAGCAGGCATCGTCTCCAACCAATGGCCAATAACATGAAAATATTTTAATGCCAGGCAGCATAAACCGGGTATTGTTTAGGATGTATTCTCCGGTTGTTAACTGAAATCCAGAAAGATCTCCACCAATGATGTGATTCCATGACTTGTAATAACCCAACACATCTTCTTTTTTTTCTTCTCCATCATCATACACAAAACTCACCCCACACTCCATTATAAGTTGATTATAGAGATCTTTAACACTTGTAACCATAATAGTAACATGGTCACTAGCTTCCATCTCATTCACCCTAAACATCCAATGGCTTAAAAATGTCATAAACTCTCCACCAACGACGACTCTTTCAATGTGATGTTCGTACATCCAGATGAGGTTCTTTGTTATATTACTAATTATGATCATTGGCACATAAATGAAGTCATCATATACAAATTCATGCCTCTTATTCAGAAATAGACGCGTCCTCACAAAGCTGAAATTCAATCCTCTGAACCTGTTGGGAGATGATGGGATGGTAAATGATATTGATGGCCCCATGCTTCTATTTGTAATCCAATTCGGCATCTCTTCACCTCCATAAATTGTGCTGAATATTCCAAATTCATAATACATCTGCCAAATACAACCAACTTCATTAATCATATATACACATATATTCATGCAAAGAAATATAGTTAACTAGATCAAACCTTGATTTCAGATTTGTCAAAAATACTAGTTTGCACACGCCTTTCGTTAAAGAAGTCTAGCTTTGTCCAACCCATACTACGTAATACCTTTTCCTCAATACCTTCCATTGATTGGATTTTGATCATGCCTTCAAATTCAAATGATGAAGTTGCTAATATACTCGGCAATATGAAGAACGGGAGCATGAACATTTCTGGATCAAATACAATTTTTCGTACGATAGGCTTACAATTAGAATAGAGGTTCAAATATGTTAGTGTAGGTGGAGGATGCTCAACTGACGTAAGCATATTACAGTTTGTCATGCTAAGTATCTCAAGCCTAGGAAGGCTTCTCACACAATTGGGCAGGGAGAGGATAGGATTGTAATCTAAATATAATTCCTTTAACATGGATAGGTAACTAAAGTCCATGGGAAATGATTCAGTGGACAATTTATTATCTTCAAGTGACAGGGTTACTAAAGATCTGGGTAAAGAAAGGCCAAAGAACTTCGAGTCATTTGGTATGGCTGAGGAAGAGGTTTTTGTGTTTATACCAATGTTGTTAACCTTGATCATTTCCAGAGAATTCATATCCCTGTTCTCAATTCGAGATTCACCTAGATGACAACCATTTAGCAATAGTGTTTTAACTTTCTTTAGCATGCCTAAGCTTCTTGGAAGTTTTTCAAGCTTGATGCAATAACTCAGATCAATGAGGTTAAGTTCAAAACATTGCTTAATTGATTCACAAACCTCGAGCAAACAGATGCAATTTCTAACTATTAACCTCTCAAGTGCGGGGAGTTCGTCAAAGCCACTCAGACTACGAAGTTTTTCACAGAAACTCAAATTAAGAATCTTTAGTGATCCGAGCGACCTCTTTTCTTTTATGCATGATCCACTCAACTGCTTAAATGAAGATAAGTTAGAATAGTAGTTATTTTTTATCAACTCAACGTAGAATAATAAAAAATGGAGATAAGTTACCTTTTGTCTCTTTTGAAGCCGTTGTGGATTACTATAGCAAATGTCAAATGATTCAATATTGCTATATGACATGTCAAGAGCAAGCAGATTCTCCAATGGTAAGTCTAAAGGTATAGACTTTAAAGGGAACCCATGCATACACAACCATCTTAATTCTTCTGGAAAATTCTCATAAGATCCATTAATTTGCACATAGTTGAGTTGTAGTAGCAACAGGTTATCCATGTTACTCAATGCATCTGTTTTCAGCTCAAATGATGCATGCAACTTCTCTTTCTTAAGCCTTTGCATGTCTAAGGCAAGGCCAAGAAGATTTCTGAAACCCTAAGACGAAACCAAATGCAAAACAAATATTGAAATAGCAACATAGACAACAAAAAATACATGGAACATGCATACTACTTGGGGCTAAATGCATATTAAAATAGAAAAATACTTTAACTTATTTGTGTATTATAGCATCCTACTTTCATTATTTGAACTACAATGTACTTTTAGCTTCTCTTTTTATTAAGACATTGTATTTTGAAGATTCTACCCAATTATAGCATCATACTCTCCATTTATTTTATTTCTTAGGATATTATAACCCAACCATACCAGTGAAATTTGCTTTGTATTTGGATGACATTGTTATAATTGGGATTTTTCAAAGTACAATGTTGTAATTAACAAATCAACGGAAGTATAATGCTTTCTTGCATCTAACCCTACAACCACCAAATATACATGGTCTCTTACCTTTTTTTGTTTTAACGCTTTAAATATGTCGTCATGAAACCATAATCGACTTCGCTTCCATGGCTTATCAGGTGATTCTTCACATGCTATAAATCTTCCCATCTCTTGAAACAGTTGATGCATCATCAACTTGTTATTCCGTCCGATACTAAGAAGGCATCTATCAATGAGATTTGTGAGCCCGGATCTTGTGTCTATATCACATCCTTTTAATATTATTTCAGTAACATCTCTATCTGTTCCAACAAAAAAACAAGCAATATGCTTAAACAACTCCTTGTCATTTTTGAATGGCAAAGAATCAAAGCTCACTCTCAAAACATTACTTATAGGGGAACCATTTTCTTTCTTTAGCCTATCTATGTACCCCTCCCAATAAGCTACACCTCGATTATGTAGAGACCTCCCCAAAAGTTTAAGAGCCATTGGATGTCCTTCACAATACTTCACAAGCTTTTCTGATACCTCCCAATAACCTTCCTTGGGACCATAGGACGTGAATGCATGAAAACATAAAAGTTTCCGTGATTCTATTTCATGTAAGCCTTGAAGAAAATGTTTTACATGCTTGGGTTTAGCATTCGATTTGAATAGTGCACAACTCTCTGTCAACCATGTGTCCCTTGTTGTTATTATAATTTTGCTTCCCGGATGAAAACCTTTCTTTCCGTTTCCGAGTAATGCATCCAATTGATCAAGGCTATCAATATCATCAAGAACTAGAAACACTTCTTTACTGGCTACTGCATTCTCTATCATTGAGGTGTATATAGAAGCATCATGAACTTGAATCTGACATGTTTTTGAAATGTCATCACATAGTTGTTTTTGTACATCAAGCAACCCGTTCAATTTTTCGTCACATCTTCTACTGATATCTTCAATAAAGCTGCTTGCAATGAATTCATAAGAACATAAACCATAGACATATTTGGCTAAAGATGTCTTCCCGATCCCACCCATACCCAAAATAGTGAGTATATCTATCGTATGTGAGGATGCATCTTTCAACCATGAAGTGACGAATTCAATGGAATTGTACATCCCAAAAAGTTGTGGCAAAGGATTCCTTGAGGATATACGTAATCTAGTGTATATATCCTTAACAATCTCTTCAATAACCTCCGTCTCTTGCCTGAAATTTGGTTTTAGTAAGAACCACAATCCAAATAACTAACTAACCCAGTTTGGAGATTTAGTATATCCAAAGACGCGATCAAAATTATATCTTATTAAGCTATTATCTTTAGTTAAACTTTTCACATCAAAACTATATCATATCTGTACTTCTAACCAAATTAGTATATGTTGTGCAAGGACCTTAAGATCATACTTTTTAGAGTAAACTACGGAAATGGTCCTGTGGTTTTCTAAAAGTTGCATTTTCAGCCCTACTTTTGTTTTTTTAACTATTTTATCTCTAACTTTGTACTTTGATGCAGAAATGGAACATGACCAATATGAAATAACTTAAGTACCATTTTGTCTTATTTTTATTACTGTAAGTTATTTCAGATAAATCTAAAAGAAAATTATATACCCACCCCGATTCAAAAACAGGGCTTGAAAACATGACACATCAGGATACCAAAATTGGTTTTCCAGTTCTAAAACATTTGATTTTCAGTGTCCATCTGCATCACATTCACAAAGCATAAACATGAGCTGATATGGATGAAACCAGAAGAATTGAATTTGGTGAGTGGTAGCTAGCTGTTAAAAAACAAAAATCATCGAATTTAAATGAGGGATGAAAATATCATAAAATGGAATCCAATCTAGGTAATGGGAATTGACTATGGGTCTCGACTGCAATTCGTGAAGACATTAGCTAATTAGAGTATATTATAAATACACAGATGTGAACAACATTAGAATGAAAACAAAAGGAAATTGTTGATTAAGATAGAACTCCGATCTGTGGGAATCAAATTAATCTTGTCTAAGATCTGCTATAAAATAAAATGCATAGCTAACATGTCAAAACTATTATGACAGATAATCTATCTACATGAATTAAATTTAGAGATCATATAATTTAATATTTAGATTCAATTTTAAGCATTTCTTTATTGAATTTAAAGACATCAGAAATAGACATATCGGACGATAATCAATAAACTCATTGAAATGTATAGAGAGAAGCTAACATTAGAGGTGTCAATTGATGAAACGACATGACAAAAATACAAGACACATAACGAAATCGGGACAAAATCAAATTTTGAATTCGTGTTTGTCTCAAATTTGAAAAACACGATGTAAATAGATATGAAATCGACACGACTCGCCATGTGTTTGTCATGTTTGTCGTTTTATGTATTGATTAAGTATGAATTAAATAAACCAACGATTCGTTTTTCGTGTTAGTGAAAAAAAATACGGCATCATGTATTGTACTGTTCATGTTACACAAAACTTTGTCGGTGTCATGTCAGACAAAAATCAATTCGACAGTCCTAGCTAACATTGATGTTTCATGCATTAGTCAAACAAAATTGAAGGACTATAAAAATATCGGTAAGAAAATGGTTACCTGCCTTCAACGTTCTTCCCTTTTAAATCAGCAACTTCGGTAAGCGCTTTACTCCATCGGTTCATCTTTTGAGCCCATTTATGTCTTTTGATTTCGTCTATCTCCGCCTCCATCGATAGTCTATGCTTAGCTATTGCTTCTCCGAAGCTACTTTGTTGCTTCCTGACATCGGTGGGCTCAACATGGTAGAAGATCGGAATAACAATATGGTTGGATGCCATACGTTGCTCAAGGATCAGCACCAATTCATCAAGACACCATGTGGAAGTAGCATAATTCTTGGACAAAACAATAATTGAAGCCCTAGATGCTTTAATTGCACTCTCCAATTCTGGTTTCAGATTTTCCCCAGTTTCAATTTCTTCATCGTCCAAGAAGGTAGCAATATTGGCATCCATGAGAGCCTTATGAAGGTAAGCGGTGAAACTATTACGGGTATCAAGACCTCTGAAACTTAAAAATATGTCATATCTATGACCATGAGTTGATGAAGAAGATGAAAACACTTCTGAAACTTCTGAGAGAACAACCATTATGAGTTATGGGTTGATAAGCCTTCACCCTTCCCACAATTTTGTGTATTTATTTCTCGTTTCTCCTAATATGTTGGTTTATCACAAGAAGCTCCAAAACTCAGTTTCCTCTGGACATCATCAGTAATGATTAATGAGTGTTGGTTTCAGTGTTCACTTCTTGTAGCTCACAGAAAGTAAGTGTTGCGTTCTTAAGCTCTTAAATCCCATGCTTTCCTCATTTGTAACTCAAGCTCCAGATCCGATACATAATGTCCCTACAATCTACATAATATCCAAATTATTAACACCTTTTGCAACATAAATCTCATCAAACAAGATACTCAAGAATAATACCTTATATTCTTCAAAATACATACTTAAGTCTCATCAAACAATTTAAACCTCCATGATAAAACCTTTTATTCTCTAAATAAAAGTTTGACATGATTAATACACACATACATACATACATAAATACAAAAACCTTTATTTTGATATAGAATCATTATTACATTGCCATGGGAGTACCTTAAAAATTGGTTACTCATGCACTTAATTGAATTGGTTAACTTGTTTTTCTAGTTAAGTTCAAGTGCAAGAAAATATCAACCCAATCTACTCAATTAACCTACAAACTAAACATTTATTTTGATACAGTTAACCAGAACCTACCATAAACATCCCAATTAATGTTGAAATAAAATCCATCTACAGCAAAGTAAAGTAATCCTCAAACAAATCAACACCAAATACCATTTTTATTACATCCCATTTAAAGAATTGCAGAAAGCATAGCAGATATCAAGAAACACTAAATAGATATAAACACAAGAAAGATAAAATTTTTGACATGGTTGCTTTTTACAGCCCCTGTAACAATGTAATACAAACATCCAAATGAAAAAGCTTGGATATGTAAGACAACTAACCACACAATCACTACAAGGAAATTTCAGCTAGGCGAGTTTTCCCTTTTTGGAATCTTATGAGCTGCTTAAATTGCAACTGTGGGCATATCAATGAAAGCTTGATTATGTGTCAAAGGTGATTTATGTGAACAGTTGTAGGTGTTAGATCTACCAAGAAATCCCCTATTAATTTTGTAGCTCAAAACAAAAACCTACCACAGCTTATTTGCAAAGAAATTGAGCCCTAATTAAGTGATTTGTGATCTAATTAACTCTACATTAGCAAGATCAAAACTTTGTTTCAAGGAATATAAAACCTGAAACAACTCCACGTACGCGAGCACAGATAACAGGTCAGCAAGTTTTGCACAAGCGGAACATAGGGGAATTAAGGAAGTAATATTCGACGACTAAAGAATTTCCCGATGTGCACAATGTTTTCTTCATTATTCTCGATTTTATGCAAGAACGTGTAGGACTACGTGCTAACCTAATTGAAATACAAAACTGAATAAGAGTAACTGAAATAGCCGAAATTTCAATCAAATATTAATGAACAAACAACTGATTATGATGCTATTTATGATTAATTAAAATCGTAAGAATGTGCTTTCAGAGTCACCTGCCTACAGAACGAAGACGAGACCTGAAGCGGAGTCACCTGCCTACAGAACGACGACGAGACCTGAAGCGGTGAGTTAGAGAACGAACTGAAAACTAGCGATCCAACGGCGGTTAGTAAGCAGGTAATCGGCAAGTCAACGGGAAGAAAGGGAGACGGCGAGTGAGGACAAACGAAAATGTTGGGGTTAATTTTGTACGACCAATGAAAAACTATTTTTACTCAATTACAAATTTGGTCCCTCTGGTTTTTATTGCTTTTTGAGTAAATTTCAAAAATTGTCCGTTTCGTTTTTATAAGAATCGCATGCTTGGTACAACATTAAAAAACTATTTTACCATTTACATTTTTTTTTTCATTTTTCTTAATATGGACCATGGGGTTTACCCTGGCCTCCATGTATTGTTGAAGTTTTGGGAAATTGATGTGGTTGTTCCTCATTGTTTCAAAATACTTCAGGTTTGGTCCATTTGGTCGTTACTGTTAATAACCTTTCATTAACAATAGAGAAAATGACTATTTTACCATGTGTTTTGTCTTGTTCATATTTTTGTCTTTTGTCATTTTTTTATTTTTTTTTCTTTTACTTTTTTTTTCTAGATTATTCTCGCATCACAATCATCACCAATATCACTACTACCGGCACCACAATCACCATCATAACCACCACCACCATCAACAATACCACTACCACAATTTGGAGTGTCAATTTATAACACGACATGACAAAAATACACAAAATCAAAATTTGAATTCGTGTTTGTGTCAAGATTAAAAAACACGAAGTCGTGTCGTGTCGTGTTCGTGTTCATAAATCGACACGAAATTGACACGATTAAGCATGTGGTTGTTGGGTTTTTCATGTTTGTCGTTATTATCGTGTTATATATCTTTAATTATGAATAAAATACACTAATAGTTATGTAATATTATATTTTTCGTGTCGTGTCATGTTGTCGCGTTTTAATTGGTTTGTTTTCGTGTTAATGAAAAAAACACGACATCATGTCGTGTCGTGTTCGTGTTATACAAAACCTTGTCATGTCGTGTCGTGTCAGACAAAAACACGAAACGACTGCCCAATGTGACAGCCCAAACCACAATCACCACCATAAACACTAACACAAACCACCACTATAAAGACCACCGACTTCAATAAATCGAACAACCATATAAAATCGGTTCTTGAAAATCTACATAAGATCTGCAAATCCAACTTCTCCATCAGTTCTTGAAAATATTTTGTTTTTAACACCTAGTTATGAAATCGGTTCTTGAAATTATTTTGTGTTCGTGTCTATGTGTGTGTTTATGTTCTTCATCGAATTTGAAAATAGACATCAAGATGAAGAGCTCAAACAATTAATGGGTTTATGTTCTTGAGTTCATCATGAGTATATGTATGTTCTTGAACAGATGAAGATGAAGGATCGATGTGTGTGTGTTCTTAATCTAAAAATCAAAAATCAAATTATTTAGATTTTTGCCCAAAGTCTCTCCGAAGCTACCATGAACATCGGAAATCGATTGAACCCACACCAACTTGTCATAAGGGTAAGATATGGACAAAAAACAAGTTTAATCGGTAAATGTGACTAAATGTGTACAAAATGAAAAATATTTTTCCCTTTTAAGTTATTTTCCCATAACCATTTGCATAATGTCATACATAACTTCTTGTAAAAATATAATTTAAACACAAATAACACGACAAAAAATAGCATAAAACAATATAGGATGCTACTAAATATACACGACTTTTGAACACAAAACACGGACACAACATTTGGTGCTAATATTGCGTTATTATCGTGTCAAATTTTGAACAAGAAAATGACACTGTTTTTCTTATACACGACATGAAAGTGACAGATATAAATTCAAAATTTGATTTCGTCCCAGTTTCCTTTTGTGTCGTGTCGACTTTTGTTATCCTTACCTACAAGTGTAGCATCTCATTATCTATCAACTTACTTCGTTGGTGACCTTTTATCATCTCCATCTCTACATTAATCATGCCCACCCTCGTAAGTGCATGATTATGTTGTCTCCTACATGGATGTCCGTGTAAGGTCACATCTTAAGATCTGATGAGTCAAACACTTTACATGTTGACCACCAGCCGCCAGCGCCAACATCATCATCAATGTCAGCGCCTCAAGATCTTATCAATGTCATAGTCTAGATAATGATCTTATGTAATCTTTGTAAATTAGGCAATTATATATATATATATATATATATATATATATATATATATATATTAGATAGTAGATCCCATATCTTGGTGATAAGGATATGTTCTTATTATAGAGTAGATACAAGAGAAATTGTGCACCGAGATTGGAAGAAGGATCAGATATGCGTTCATTGCCACCAGTCACTTTAAATCCATCTGTCCTGCATGGGTAGCGGAGGGGGTGTACGCCCTGACACCTATCGTCCCACCAGAGGTCAAGATCGAGCCACAAGAAATCACTGGTATGTATGTTGAGCCGCAATTCTGTAATAATATGTATATCTAGAGTGAGTATGTTCCTGTCCAGGGTTGTATCGTTAGGCTAGAAATCTTTTGTATGATAGAATTGTTAGGACCATATTGGAATTGCTACAATTTCTTCCGAATGGGGTTCAATACTGGGCGCTTCGTATTTCAAAGGTGTATATATCACTCTTGCTAGGTTGAAGCTGTGTCATTAGGAAGCTTCCAATAATACCATCTAAGGTCCAGGGATCCATTATGATTGACTAAGTAATCACAAAAAAAGAATTTTGATATGCCATTGTAACATTCCAAAAATTTCAACAAATTTAAAAAAAACAACTCATTCACTAAAGAGGTATTTACAAAAACCATTGTTTCTAAACGTTCTTTAAAAATCATAATCATTTACAACATGGTTTCAAAACATTTCCATTATCAAAGTTTCCCATAATTGACAAGTTCCAAAACACGAGGATGTGTGCGGACACACTTTCACCTTGCCATGGTCCACTGAAGTAACTGAAACCATAAACCAAAATTGTAAGCATGAAGCTTAGTGAGTTTCCCCCAAAGCACTAATCACAACAATAATACATACACAAACAACATACTATGGTTCCAACCATCATCGGGATGGAATAACCCAGGCCCCTCAACCATTGGGTTGGAATGCCAACATACAATGGTTCCAATCAACCATCGGGTTGGAATACCCCAGGCCCTTCAACCATCGGGTTGGAATGCCAACATACTATGGGTCCAATCAACCATCATGTTGGAATACCCCAGGCCTATTGGCTTTTGCACAAAGCAGAGAAGCCTCAGCCACCAATCACACATGTGCATACATAACGGATAATCATATAACACTCTACATCCAGTCAAACAAATCTAACATATCACTAAGCATAACATCATCCTATCTATCCGGATACCTATCTAACAAATCATAACATCTTAGAAACATCCTATCTACCGGGATACCGATCTATCAAATCATAAC